CGGGGAGAAGTTGGACTGCGTGATTTATTTGCCTGATTTCTTCTTTTCCCCAACCCTCTTTGTTTTTTTCCCCTTTCCTATTTTTTTTTTTCTTGTTAGCCTTTTGCTGCAGTCAATTTAGGACTAGCTCCTTCTTTAAAAGATAAAAATGATTGATTTTGCTGCTGACAAGGGGCTGGCTGCCAAAGAGCCGTAGCGAAGGACCGGGGAATCATTACTCAAAAAAAAAAAAAAAAAAAAAAAAACCCCCCCAAAAACCCGCCACACATACAAAAAAAAACATGTACAAACAAGAATTAGCAGAAATTAATATTCCATACTTCCTCAGGAGGGGGGACACTGGTGGCAGTAGATGGCGCAGTGAGTTACCACTGGAGCCCATCACCTCTGCCGGCTTCAGGCTCCCCTCAGAAATGTGGGAGAAGACTTAGGATCGCCCCTTTTGGTTCTCCGTGGTGTCAAAACGCCAGATCGTCTTCAAAGAGCCTCGCTAATACTATTAGCGTTCGCTTTCCCTTTGCCCCGGGACTGGCACACCCCAGGGGAAAGGTTGTCCTGGATTTAATGAGTTTAGAACTAGTCCAGTTATGAGCGTCAAAACTCTTTGCCATGGGTGTATCAGGGCACCGAGCAAATGATGCGCTTGAAAAAACCCAGGTAAACCTTCCTCCTGCCTCCCCGGCTTTCCCTAAGTCTGGAACAATTAGAGGGTATGAAGCCGAGCAGATGATGGATAAGCAACATTATAATACACACAGGGAAACTGATTGCGTTGACCGTGGGTTAATGAGTGCCTTACAAAATAATTTCTTATTGCTTATTTTATGCCATCAAATTACCTTCATAAATAGCCTTAAAATTCATCCCACAGCAATTTTGTACAATTATAATGGCAGAAGAGGAAGAATTACTCTTCCTTCCTGCTGCACTGCAAAACTAATAAAAGGGCCGTGATCCCAGCCCGGGGAATCTTGCTGTCTATATGGCAGACTATAAGCTCATAATGTGCAGCAGAACAAGGCGGTTCCCACACTACAGGCACTTGTTGGCAGAGCTGTTTCATCCCGTTGTGTGAACAGATGTGGTCTTTGACTAACATCACTGTGGTGGTGGTGAACGTCCCTTATTACTCTGGCAAAGCTGTCCTTTCCCCAAAGTAGCCTGTTTCACGTGCACAGGTCTGGTTTGACCGTATCATGCAGTATAGCTTTGTTGTTACAGCTGTGGTCCTGCAAAGGAGCTCTTTGCCAATGTAGTGTGTTGGTCTTCCTAAATTTTGGACCGTGCTCCTTGTGTAGAACTGGCTGGAAGAGGCTGGAATGAAGGGTCTGCATTAATTTTTCAGTTAAGTATTTGTCCAGAGCATCTATCTAGAATTTCAGGGCTTTGTTCTGTTTTGGGTTTGTTTTTTTTTTTAATAAAAGAATTGACAAGGTATTTCCATGATGCTGGGATGGAGAAGGTCGATTGTCTTTGGAGCACCTTCATGCCTGCCCCACTGAAGGAGCTGATGTTGTTTGTCTTCTTGCTTTCCAGAACTGCTTGAGGAGGAGGGATGCTGGCCTTTTAAATCAGTTACAAGAGCTAGATAAGCAAATAAGTGATCTCCGCCTGGACGTGGAAAAAACGACAGATGAACACCTTGAGACAGACAGTCGTCCAAGTTCAGGTAAGGCCAATATTCAGCAAAACGGAGCCTTTCTTGGTACCTGGAATTAAACTGGCTGTAGCTTTCAGTACTGCAACAGTGAATGCCTATAGCACATTCACATCTGATAATTAATGCCTACTAGCAAAGTTCACCTACCACTGGAAAGGTCGCTGTTTGTAGACAACATATTCAGAGAAGCATTTCAAGCTTAATTAGATTTTTAGTGTGTGGGGCATTTTTTTTTTTTCAAGGTCGCACACGAATTAGTTCAAAACATTCTAATTCTACTGCATATTAGGAAGCAGGCTGCAGGAAAAATGGTGAAAGGAAGCACCACCAGCAGGAGGAGGATGTCAAAATTGATCTTACAGCCAGAAGGGAACACTGAATCAAACAATTTGGTCCCCAATGTATTGAATTTCGTCCCATTCTAACTGTGTTGAAGCCAGTAAGTGGTATTTAACTATGGGGAACCTTTCCTAGAGGCATCTAAACTTGTTCTGAAAACCCTAAAAAGTGGAGAATCCGCCAAACTGCAATTGTTAAAACCATTGCTAATGGCTAATCTGAATTTGACTTGTTCCAGCACTGATTTTTTTATATGCTTTTCTCCCATAGACTAAGGTCTTTTCTAGCACCCTGCTTTTTTTTCCTCTTGGAGGTGCTCTACGGTATAATTCCTGACTTTTTCTTGATGAGCTAAACAGGTCAAGTTCATTAAGTCATTTGTTTTAAGGCATTTTTCCAAGCTTTTAAATAGCTTTATGGCCACTTTCCAATTTTCAGCTTTTTTTTCCAAAGCATACTGGAGTCAAGGACTAGGCGTACTGTTCCAATGTCTTTCTTACCAGTGCTGTAGAGACTGCTGAAGTAATTTCTCTACTGCTGTTCATTAGTCTCTTTGTACATCCAACTATCTCATTAGCTTTTTTTGCCATATCATTAAGCTTGATTGAGCTGCTTTTCCACGCTGACTAAGTCCTTTTTAGGATTATTGTTTTCCAGGATGCATCCCCAGTCTGCAGACATGCCCTGCATTCTTTATTCTTAAATGTTAGATTTTGATTATGGTGTGTCATATTTTTCTTGAGTAGTCCCAATTTACCAGGAATTAAATTTTCTATGTCTGCACATTATATACCACTTTCCTTCTTTCATGTCATCCACAAATATTATATTTATTTCCAGAACTTTGAGGAAAATAATGGATAGCATTGGGCCCAACATTTGGTAAAGATTTTGTAGTCAAGTGATAACTGAAGAGTCTGTCTTGGAAGTATAATACACTATTAAATAAGCGGGCTGTCAAACACAGCCTGGATCCTTCTTGCAAAAATCTGAAAACCCCTGTAAAGGTTAAACCCCCGACCCCTTTAAAGGTTAAGAAAAAATTCAAAATTTCATATGCTAAGTAAAATTCTGCTTTTTAACTTTTAAGTGCTTTACTTTTAAGCGGAATCCTTCATAGCAACAAGGATATGACTAAATTATGCACTGTTTTTTGGGTGACTCAATGAAGTCTCGTAACTAATTGCAATAGAGTAAGCCAACATAAACATGAGCTTGACTGCCTTTCTAGGGACACAAATGGTAACTTTGTGTAGACATAACTAATATAAATCCAAACTCTTATTTTTATAGGGTTTTATGAGCTGAGTGATGGAGCTTCTGGATCGCTCTCCAATTCATCTAACTCTGTCTTCAGTGAGTGTTTATCCAGTTGCCATTCTAGCACTTGCTTTTGCAGCCCTTTGGAGGCAACACTGAATATCTCAGATGGACGCCCTAAATCTGCAGGTATAGTAAAAGCAGGTCGAATACATCGTACTCCAGGAGGTGGCTTTCACTTTGGAATTACTGCCTCAGGAGTATCTGGGTTGGAGTAACCCTTCTTCCTTTCATTTGACTTACTGTGCTCTGAAAAGATTCCAGTGCCTATCACGTACATGGGTCACGAGGCAGGACTGTTTGCCCTCCACTAGTCCAGCCCGACATGTGAATATGTCACTCTAACCACATGAAAATAACGTGAAAATATGACAGCTACTCTACCCAGTAGAGGGCAGTGGTACCTGTACACATAAGCACTTTAGTCGGCTAATTTCTCATGGTTTCCTTCAGAAAAACATTTTTACTCAATAGCAATAATGAAAGAGACCTCAACAGCCATGTCCGTGTTCAAGTGACAGAGCAAGGAGCTAGCTACAGGTTTTAGGAGGTCAGGGTGCACACCCATCTGTTTGTAGCAGTCATTTTGTCAGTTCTGATGGGCCTCAACCCGACCGTGCTGAGGGAGGTGTGTCCTGCATTCATGTAGTATGGACAAGTAGGCATCATGAACAGGGAGAAAGAATGTTGTCTCTTTGGCAGAGAGCCGTTGAATTTCCTTTGACACTAGGCTGAAGGTGCAGGCCTTAATTTGTGAGATGGTTAAATGGGAATCCTTTGGCTCTTGTCCAGAAAGGGCACTTCAGTAGGACTTTTGTGATCAAGTGTTATTGGTTGCAGACATACTCATTGGAAAGCCTCAGTTCGTGCTGGGTTGTGGAGAATGCTTCTAACCATAGCGTTTCCAGTTTCCATTCTGCTCTTAAGGTTAACTTATAGTGATTTGTTGTGAATCAAGAACAAAATAATTCGCCTTCTTCTAACTCTGAAGTGGGAAAATGCAGCCTGGGGTACATTCATTCTGAGATGCTGAGAAGTCCTCTAAGTTAGCCTTTGAGCAGCTTGAGGTAATTTAACGCTCCCTGTTGTAAGGTATACATGATCTTCTTCAGCCATACATAAAAAGGAAAACATACACAAGGATTTCCAGCAGATTGTATTGGTGGGGTTTTTTCTGTATACACCACAAAAACCTAAAACTCTCATTGATCATGGTGTCTCACTTTTTAGAGCTGGAATTTCACAAACTGGCATGCTTCAAAGAAGTCTTTTTGGTAATATTTCCTGACTCCGACATAGAATTTAGGAAATGTGGGAAAACTGTGAAGTAATCTGGAGGAATTTCCTGCTTCCAACTTCCTTATTCTTCCTCTCCTGCCCACACAGTAACATCGTCTCTATCAGCTAATTTCATCAAAGTATATGAGAGCTCTTTTGAAATAAGCTTTAGATAAGTGATGAGCACTGAGCTTTCAAATTTGAGTACCCTGGCTGAAGTTTCTAGCCCAAGGGTAGAAAACAGGACTGACAGTGATCTGTAAGGATCATTTAGACTGTACCCTTACATTTAGCTTGTCCCCCTACCCAAGAAGATGAGGGCAACATAAGCTTAAGAAAATAATAATCTCAGGTGCTTGGATTGAAGACCTGCCCCTAAGGTTGCTTACCTCCTAAGGAAGTGCCTTCACCATTAAATCTGACTCATGCACCTTGAAACGCACTGGATTTCTCTTACAGAACTCTCTTTGCAGAGCCAAGGCTAGGATGTCAGCTGGATTGACCTGCACTCCTTGTACTTGTGTGGAAAGATGAGCGTGTTTCCCGTTCTTGAACCCTTTATCGCTCAAAAAGAGTATTATTTATTATTACTTTTTTATTATCGTTACTATTAAATAATTAGGATTATAATAATAGTACTAATGAAAATAATAACAACAATAAAATCAAATCTGGATTTTTTTGGAGCCAAGATATACTTGAAAAAATCTGGAAGTGAAATTTATCAATAAGCCAAAAGCAATTAATTAATCTCCTATCTATATTTTTTTTGTTTCCCTTTGGATTTATCAAAGTAAAATGTAAAATTTGTACGTGCTGAGGCCTGCAGTGAGTTTTATAGGTGACTGTGTAACATATTAACAAAAGAGACCCTTACAGACTTCTGGGTGGCTTGGAAGTAAGACAGGAAGCTCTTAGCAACCTAAGCACAGGTTTGAGACCAAAGCAGATGTTCTCCTTAGGGCTGTGATTTTTATTTTATTAACCGCATAGTCATATTGGGGTGAATCCTACATAAATGCAGTTATAAAGCAACCCACAGAAGAACAGTGCTGCTTTTATATCACTTAAACGGCATCCCTGGTTGCAAGGTTTCCACTGTTTGAGCAGTGCTGCTGTTGGATAAACGTTACATCCTATAGGTAGATGGGACCAGAGTCCTTGGTGGCACGTGAAAAACGTAGCAGAACTGTCCCGGCAGGCTGTCTAAACTCTTCCAAAATGCCTTTCAGATCTCATAGGCTGGATGGACTATAATAAGGAAGGCCAGCATGAGGACCAGACCGCAGGCTCTGTCTGTCGCTCTTTGTCCACACCGCACTCAAATTCCCTCGATGTCGTTGCAGATGTCCATCCAAAGTACCAGTGCGATTTGGTGTCTAAAAACGGGAATGATGTCTACCGGTACCCCAGCCCACTCCATGCAGTAGCTGTGCAGAGTCCCATGTTTCTTCTCCCCGTCACTGAAAACCCCCAGCGAGAAGAGGAGAGGCTTGGTTGCGACATTAGCGACGTTTGCACCGGATCGGAAACGGACTCGGGAAAACCGGCCACCACCTTTGTGGCGCAAAGCTCCTGGCCGGCACCGTGCCCTTCCACCAGCAAGAGGATAGACGGTTACATCTTAAGCCTGGTTCAGAAAAAGACTCACGCGGTAAGGACTAACAAACCCAGGACGAGTCTCAATGCCGATCCCACCAAAGGGATCTTGAGGCATGGAAGCATGTGCGTCAGGCAGCCTGCAGGGGTGGTGGCTCACGGTAACGTCGTGAACCTGAAGAGCTCCAAGCAAGCGTGCTTGCCTTCTGGTGGGACCACCGCCCTGGACCACGTGGCATCCTCCCCGTTAAAGCAGAGGCTGAGGGAGCCGGCTGGCGAGCAGCTGGAGAGTAGGAAGGCACCTTTACCAGCGGCTTTCCCACCCGGCGCGGCGAGTGAACTCCAGAGCAAACACCTGGCGCGGGGCATCAAACCGGCACCTCTGGAGCTCAACCGCAACGCGGTGGCCGTGGCAGGGGACGTCCCCAAGGAGAACGGCCAGCTCTTTGCCGCGTCTCCCAAAGAGAGCCCAGGGAAACCCGTGGTGCCGCAGCCGGAGAACAGGGTCAGCCAGCCTCCCCAAAGAGAGCCCGGGGAAACCCGTGGTGCCGCAGCCAGAGAACAGGGTCAGCCAGCCTCCCAAAAAAATACTGCTGAAGAGCAGCTCGCAGGTGGCTCGTTCCTCGTCACCTGCTGTCGAGGAGAGGCCCGCGCTGGATTTCAAAAGCGAGGGCTCTTCCTCCCAGAGCCTGGATGATGGGTTGCTGGTGAACGCCCAGTACATACCAGCCCAGCAGCAAAGCGTGAAACTTCACAAAGGCACCCGAAACGTCAAGATTTTGAAAAGCTCCGCGCTGAAACACAGACCCCACCTTGCCAACGGGCTGGAAAACGGTTCCCAGACTTTGCGGGAGAAAGCCAAGCCTGTCGGCAAGAAGTGCCGCTTTCCCGATGAGTTGGATACAAATAAGAAACTGAAAAAGCCCACCTCGCGGGGGAAGAGGGGCAGCGGCTCGCCGACCGGTGCGGGG